ACACATCTTTCGTCTTCTTCCAGATTTTGGAAACTGCATTAAAGGCAATTATATATTTGGATATGGTTAAACTATTTATCTATTTATTTGTTGGTTGAAATTTTGATTCTGATTTGTGTTTGAATGTTTTCGACTGGATCAATGGTTAATTTTTCGGAAGCTGGTGATTGTTTTTTATTGGTTTGGTTGAATAATTTAATTATTGGGCGCCAGGTGCTATTTATGTATGTAGTTAAGGATGGATTTGGTAGTGAGTTGCAAGGTGTACGAATTACATGAGATAAATTATAATACATATTGTATTGAATAGTATCTAAGATATTAATATCCTCATTATTACAATAATCCTTAGCTTTACCAGTTATATATATTAAATGGGATAATTATTAACATAAGTGCACAATATTATTTTTTTGCATGTTTTTCCAGTCATATAACTTCTCTAATGTTTTTACTTTGTTTGCAGGGGGTAGATCCGTCAATAAGATCTGAAGTGTGGGAATTTCTTCTAGGCTGTTATTCTTTGAGAAGTACAACAAATTAAAGAAGAAGGCTAAGGACTGCAAGGAGGTATGTACTATTTACTCTGTACTATGTTGTTTGTGTAGTCTGTTTTAACTGATTATTTAATGTTCATTTTTTTCATTCTTCCATTGTATAAATTCTTTGCCACCAATTACCAGATTTTAAATGCCCTTTGTGCGACATATCACATTGCATGCATTGACCTAATTTGGAATACTTTGTTTCTAAATCACTCTAAATATTACTATAATCAGGGAATATGTAACACCAGGAGAGATAAAGAAAAAGAAATTACTTAAATAACTAAATAAATTTGTTTCCAACTGATAGTTATTCTATACCAACTAAAATATTTGTAGCTATTACTTTCTCACATCCAACTTATCCTTATTATCATCAGTTAATCATATTTAACCAAAAAAATGATATATAGTGTTAATTACAAGAACTAGCAACATACCTTCATTGATTTGTTATATCATCCTACTTCCGTTTCTTCCTATTGCAGTTTTGTACTTTGAAAAATCTAATTATACCACTGTCAATTATAAACAAAGAAATATTTACAGTTGGACATATTTCCTAATATGTGTAGTTAAGAATGCATTTGGTAGTGAGTTGCAAGATATTGATTCTATTTGTGTACCTTTTATATAATCATATATATTTTTTAATATTTTTTGGGTTTTCAGTTATGCTTTGATGTGTATTCATTTCTTGCAGAAGTCTACACCTTCAAATCTTCCATGAGTATAGGTTATTTTCTTTTCTTATTATATTACTTACTTGTTGTATGTAATATATAAGAGCTAAATGCCAAAAATAGCAATGAACTTTCATTTTCCTTGTGTTACATCATATTATTTTCATTTTTCTATATTGTAGAGTTGTAGTTCCGATTTTTTTTATCGGAAGGCATTGTACTTTTTAATTTCTTCCCATAAAAATGAAAGTGCGTTTCCTTTTCGTGTTTTTTCCCAAAACGATATGTTGATAGAAAGTGAGTTTCAGAAGTCATGTGAAGTTGAGATTTTGTCAAAATTGACAAATGGTTATTGCTTGGTAGCAATTGGAAGGTCTGAAAACTTTTACAGGTTTATTATTTTGATTTGTTAAAAGTCGTTAATGCCACACAAACACATGCAATACGCCATCACCAGTTCCGTTAATTCAAGCCTCCATCATAAGTTTCCTAAATGTTAACCTAACCTAATTTAAAAGAGAATAAGGGATTCAGATTGTTTCCATCCATCGATATCTTCCGCCTTCGGCTTTCGTTCTCACTAGTTCATTATCTGAGGTCCATTTCTCCTCCATCACCTCCACGACGAAGGTAATCGCTTCAATTCATCAAATATGTTTGGAATTAGATTAAAACTATGGATGTTTCATTGTTTGAAATTAGGTCCATCTCTTATCCACCACTGGCGAGCTCCTACATCACCGGCAGCGAAGGTTATTACTTTAATTCTTCAAATCTGTTTGGAATTACACTCAAACCATGGATGTTTGATTTATGTTTGATGCTTAAAGCCATGAGATTTTTCCATTTGAAGATTTGCCATCATCTTGTGTTTGATGCTTCTATTTTATTGTTTGAAAACCACCAAATTATTGCTTGATGCTTGAAGACTGATTGTGTTTGATGCCTCCATTTGAAAATTTTTCATGAGGTTCTTACTCTATGCTTCAAGACATTAGATTGTCTTTATCTTTGATGCTTAAAATGTTATAATTTGCTTTATCCACACAGAAGGTGTTTCTTTTTCATTACACAATGTATAATTTACGTATATCCTTTTGATATTATCCATCTTATGTACGTTTGTTCTTTATTTCTTTAACTCTATGCAATTTCCATTGGTTTCAACTTTCAAAGCATGGTTACTTAAGAAAATTAGCATCCAACCCAATGATTCTGATCCTTTGGTAATTGAAATCCCGAATATCCCTTGAGAGGCTCTAATGGATTAAAACTTGCAGCAAAGTTTTTGTATCAAACTATCAACGAAAAACATTTTCATGGTGAGATGTGTCTCATAGTTTCTTAGCATAAGATTATCCGGTTAGTAATCTTGTAACAATATTTGAAGCTTATTTAAATGAAGTAAGATTTAAAACATCAGGTGGTGTTATTTCCATTTTGTTGAAACATAAATGTTGTCTTAAATTTTGATATTTGTTTAGGTTGCTTATGATTTAATTTGTAAACATAAAAACACAACGAGATTGTGGATTGTTGGGTTGGATTTGTTTTAGAATTGCTTAATGTATTGGATTTTTTTTCTGCATTTTGGGTTTTTAGAATTAATTAATGAACAATTATTTTTTAAAATAAAAAATTAGTAAAAAGACTCGGTTGAATATTAAGGAACCGGCTATAAAAATAAAAGAGCAATCTTGTGTTTTGTAATAAAATATGGGTTGTGCATGAAAAGCGGGTTGTATGGCCATATAAAATCTATCCGGGTAAACCAGTCTTTATTTTGGGGTTTTTGGCACTGTAGCACAACGAAGTTTGATCAATTTACATATTTAGTCACTCAAGTTATTTTTTTGCATAACAGACCATTAGAGTTAATTTTTACCTGTCAATTACATCATTATAAGACCAGATACCGGAAAAGCAGGTGACTTTAGTGATTTGGCAGTTTAAACTAGATTTTTATACATTGTTTAAGGGCCACATAATATCCATGGTGGAAAACCATTTGATTTATATATAAATATTTGATTTATATATAATTTGATCTTCTTTCACCAATACCGCCACAATCCACCTCCCACTACCACCATCCAGTGTAAATGTTGCCAAGATAGTTCCTGCCACCACAACCTCTCACCAATCACCACCACCATCAACCACCCCACCCCCACCATCACAACGATCATCCACTCCACTCCTATCATCACCATCACAACCACCTTCCATCTCCTTCTACCACCAGACTGTAAAAACATCAAGAAAAGAGGATAAATCCATTATGGGTGCAAACTCACCAGACACTCATTTGTTCTTAACTTCCATGTACCCGTTCCAAACTGACATCTACATATCACCACCCAGAAATTAATGAACAAAAGAACCAAAAACCATAAAAGTTTATATTAATCTGAGTTGAAGAAGATTGTTCATCACAAACCCAAAAGTTCAAACCCAATCTTTGGCGTTCTCATAAACCCAGAAGAACAAAAGAACACAATTCGAGGAAGTAAGTGAGAAAAACTTGATTCCTTTAGGTGGATTTGCTTCACACTTCTGTCGATTTCATTGGAATATATAATTAGGGCTTGTATGTCCAAGAGAAAAACGTCGCAAATATCAAGCATTTTTTATAGGGTTTCACAAGAAACATCCCCTGCGATTCCAACTGCCATACTGAAATTGAAATTTGCTTCACCCGGTAAATCCAACGGAGAAATAGGGTTTTATGATTGGAAGCTATAAGCAAAATCAGATACCATTTTTGATACGAAATCGGAGGTGATGTGAGGCCTTAAAGGACGACGGAGATGAAGAGACAACACCGTCTAGGGTCTCGGCGTGTACTACCTCGTCTTTGATGAGAACATCCATAATAACTGATGATCAGAACTTGGGTTCTCAATTTCCGCCCTAGAAAACTACAGTTGTGGCTCAAATATTGTTCGGCGATTGTGAGGGGTTTGTTTCGTGAGTACCTGTTTGGAGTAAGGCGCAGTTCAGAGTTTCCACGGCTAGGATTTCTCTAGGAGGGTATATCACCACCTTCAATGGAAGCCATGATTTTTAAGGTTCATAAGAACAGGATGAGAAGGAGGTGGAAGCCATGGTTTTTTAGGTTTCATAAGAAGATGTGAATGAGGTGCGAAGAGGAAGAGCCACAGGTGGGTGAAAGAGGATGAACAATCTAGGGCTTTTTTGTTTTTTCAATTTTAAAGAAAATAAAAGGAATTAAAATATCAATATCTATATGAGGTGGACTACTTATTGCTGTCACTATGCCAGCTAAGTCTGGTTAACTTGGTAACCGGCTAATTTTAGGTTCCATCACCTAATTAACAGGTGAAATGAAACGTAAATGATCTATTGTGCACAAAAAATACTTGAGTGACTAAATGTGTAAACTGACCAAACTTCGTTGTACTACAGTGCCAAAAACTTTTTATTTTGCATATATGTCCCGATTGTAAAACCATGTCCTATTAAGTTTTCTGCATAAGACTTGTTGGTCGTTAGACCCGGTTGAAAATCGGGTTTTATAAATCTTTTTGTAGTAGTGATCCTAAGCCCATATTGTCAGCCCTTAACTTTCTTTTTTGGTAAACCATCTTAATTTTGGACTAAATCCTGAATAATGGTAAAAGAGATTAACATTAACATTATTTGTCTTCTCTAAGATAGTACTATAATATACTATGTAACTCAAATTTTTTTTTTTTAATATCTAACAATACACGATTGAAAAGAGTAATTTTCATTCAAAAACTTATATATTCGTATATATCAACCATATAGAATTAACTTCCGCTTTACATAGAGACGATGCATGTTTAATCAAAATCCATCGCACATAATCAAAACACAAATGGCGAATTTATCAGCCAACAATCACACTCGAAGTTAAACTCTTTTTCTTTTGCCTTTCGGACCCACGAACATAGAGCAAATTCGAAAAGCAAGAACCCAAACCAATTAAATGCCTCTCACTCTTTGATTTTAAACCATCTCTTTTTTGTTGTTCCACAATTTCCTTGTTATTATCATCGCCATGTTCATGGTCATCATCTTCTCTTACACTGTCTTTGAAAAGGTCCAAAAGTCTCATTTTTTTGTCTGATGGAGTTGGAGATTTTTCGCGTGTGAGACCAACCGGTTCTTTATGGTTCACTAAAATGGGCCCAGTTTCAGTTCCTGTGCTGACTAGACCGTGTTTGGTTTCGATGGACGAGATATGGTGCACTTGTGTGTTGCCTCTTGACGGGGTAAAGTCTGTATACATCCAGATGATATCAGTAAAAGTTACAAAATAAAGACTAATATTGATTTAATTTTTATTTTTTTTATAATCATTAAAATAAAATACAACGTAAATAATGAAATTTTGTTTTACTTTAAATTTTGAAATATTAATACAATTTGTAACCATAAAAATAGTTGAAATTTATTATAATTTCAATATTTACTAACATGTGATATTTTTTCTTACCACCATTAACGCTCATGAATTCATCTTCATAGTCGGAATCCATCCATGCTTGGGAATCAAAGAACGTTTCCTCTTTACTACCTACAATGTAAAAAAAAAAAAAAACATATGCATCAAAAAAAATATATATAAAAAGAGTTTAGAGTCTACATATATATATATACCCAAAAACATTTTTCTAAGATATTTGTAATAAAAGATAAATAATAATAATAATAATAATTGTAACTATAGTACACATGAATTATGTTTTTGTACATTATGTGATAATGTCTATACTCGACAAAAAAACTATGGACCCATCTTTGATTTTGATCCCATAATGTGCAAAACTATATCAAGAAACTCATGATCATGGCTTTTAATGTGCAAAACTATATAAAAAAACAGAGTCAAAAAATGAAGCGTTGAAATTATGTATCCTTAGCAATTATTATGGCTATATTTGTCGACTAAAGAATATTAATTTGTGGGCCATTATGCAAAATGATTATTCAATCGTTCACTCATAATATTGTTTAGATTCGTATTCCACGTTTTTTTGCTAACAAACTATTTCAAGACCAACAAATAAAACCAGCAACGCATGTTACACCCACCCATTACATGTTGTAGAGTAAAACAAATTTGAACAATAAACAAATAAATCGACATAAACAGATGAAGATCATGTGAAAAGTGAAAACATAATCATTTGTAACAAATTTGATTAGTTTTTTGTATACGACGTGATTAGATGATATGATTAACGTAACCTTCGATCCAATTTAGAAAGAAGAGTGTGAAACTGTGAATTATTAGCAGCCAGCAAAAAAGTCAAAACAAAACAAACTGAATTAATCAATTTGCAACGAGTTGAAGAAATCAAATCTGTGACTGAGTAAAAAAGTAGCAACAAATCATTGAAATTAATCAAAATTCAAAACCATCGTGAATCAAGGAATTAAATACTAAGGTCGTATCAGCTGTAAATCAAATATAAGATCGAAAACAACTAAAGTTAATCAGATTAAGAAGATGAACAATTTCGATTTTACAGAAATGGAAGTCATACCGAAATCGGAAATAGTAGCGGGTGATTGAGAATGAGGCAACTGAGGTTTAACAGCAACATGACCATTCATGGTTGGAAATTTCTCGCTTCCGAATGAAGGATGAATCACTACCTTATGATCTGGTTTTTTAGTAGAATCAAACGATTTTTGTGGTTTCATTGGAGAACCTTTTTGATGATTTGAAACGCAAGCACCCATCGTTCTTCGACTTTAACTGAGACTGATTCCTCTACCCACTGAGATAAATCCGATGCGTTTGAGAAGTAATCAAGTTGATGATTAGTGGATGATGTCGATCGAAAGGAAAAAAGCTTTGAGTGGAAAGCAGAATATGGAGAGAGAGAGAGAGAGAGAGAGAGAGAGAGAGGCGACTATCGGTTGATTGAAAGGGAAACTATTTGCATTGCGATCAACGAAGCGCTCTATATTCGGAACGTTTTTTTTATGTTAATAAATAAATATTCGTTCAAATTGATAATATCAAATTGTAGAAAATTTATATAAAACATAAGGTTATTAACGAATAAACAGTTTCATTACAGAACAATAATTTATTTTAAAAAAGATAGATTTTTTTTTTTATAAATTTAATTTATAACATAAAATTTTGAGAATATTAATCTTTAAAGTATATTATTTTAAATAAAATTTAACTGGGTAAATATTTTTATCTGAATTATATTTTGTGCATTCACTAAGCAATATCGTATATTTCGTTAACAATTTTTTTGTTAACTTGAGCTCCATACTCGAAATGAGATTAAGTTCAATATCGATTCGATGAATTGATTCCTCTTCTTGATGTAAGTTCAACATAATTTGTTTTGTCTCTTCAATAAAATATAACTAGTTTACTCTTGGATCTTTTTAACCTCTACTCCTTCAAAACATCATTTACATATTCTATTTGATCAATACCATTATAACATGTGTGAATTTCTAAGAGTCAAATTGTAACCACTATTTTGAATTATTCTATAAGTAGTTACATGTTCATGCATGACACGTCTTTTTTATTAAATTATTATATATAAATTACTATATTCAGAGATTTATTTAAATAAATAATACTTGCAAAACGAACATATAGTTTGACTCATATGATATATTGATAATTATATAATATTTGTATAATCTATAATAAAATATGATTTTCGACAGGGTCGGTTCTGAGGAATAAAATATCCTCAAAGGCCTTGATGAGCCTGAAAAAAATGGCCCCTATTGTTATTATAAGTTTTTATTTTTAAATAAAAATACATATAATATATAATAATAAAAAGTCGGGCCGTACAGTTGCCCACTTTGTCCTCCCTCAAAACCCACATGATTTTCGATGACTTAACTTTTGATTTAATTATATATTTATCAGATTATTTAATTTTAAAGTTATATTCTTAATAGAGTATAGTTACAGAACTGCTCTATGTAATTTGGTCAAATACGTAGGTTTAGTCTAATCTTTCAAAAGTTGATAGCTATGCCCCTGGTTTGGAAATATTACATGGTTGGTCTTCCCGAATAACTCCACTCCGTTAGAAAACATACATTAAGTCTGAGAATAATGACCCCGTACCCCTTATTTTTTTTATATTATATGTTCATTTTCTAAAGTACATGCACCAAATAGGTAGTTTGTTGCGATTCTGATCCCCATCATACATGAAAAGACTATAATACCCCTATATATTTCTTATTTAATTATTTTTATTGTTTATTTACAATTAATCAATTAAAACAAATTGTTTAATAAACATGTTGGTCGCACCATCCTAACCACATCCTACAAGCCATTATCCCTTCCTGTCGGCCTTACTTTACTTTTGAAGGGTTATGAGCATAACTACAAATCATATGTGTTCATCCAACCCTATAATTAAGGATCTAGGTTTTCTCTAGTTGAACATGCAAACTTGAATATCAAAGAGAAAACCCTAGGAAGCTAGTATATAATTCAAAATCTATAAACAAATAGGGTTTAGATCTGTACCTTACTTGTTTTGTTGTAATAACAAAAAAACCTTGTAGATCTTTAGCTGTTGAAAGCAAGTGCCTCAAATGTGACACCTCTAATGGCTTACAAACACTCTTCGCAAGAGGATGAGGATGAGAGAGGAGGAGGCACACCAGAATTTCTGCTCTTCTAGGGTTAGGGTGAAGTGGCAGAAAATCCAAGGAATTATCGTCCTTATATACTTGTGGTTGTTTAGTCCCAAAGCTAGGGTTTGCAGGTGGAAACACTAATTTCCTGCTTAAGGCCTAAGCAGCCCATGAACTCCCTAATTAGAAGCCTTGGACGAAAACTTATAGGGTCCCTATAATTTTTGTCCACTTCTATCCAAGGGGTCCAAGAGCCCAGTTTCACAACTATCAATGATTTGCAAAACAACTGTAATATCCCGGAATTCAGGAGCGCCTATTTAACCCTTCTCTTTTGTCAAGTTGTCAAGATTAGCCCTTGAGTGGAATTGTAGCAAATGAGTACGCTGGGCGTACTTATGCGCTTATTTTGGACGCGGACTCGCCTAGGTACGCTGGGCGTACCTAGGGTTACGCTGGGCGTAGTTTGGCCCAGGTGCAAAACCCTAATTGTGGCTTGAGGGCTATAAAAGGAATGAGATGGTCTTGTCCCCAGCCACCATCCCTCAGAGAGAAACCCTAGGAGAGCAATATTATCGTTCTAAAGCTAGTGTGTGTGAGTTCTTGAGCTAGAAAGTGCCTTTGTGTGTTAGTGAAGAAGAAAAGGAGGTTCTTGTGGAGGCTAGAAGTTGAAGTGCAAGTTTGGATCTGAGTTCTTCAGAGGGAGGAGCTTCATTTAGAGGTAAAAAGCTCAGAAATTTCCTCTTTATTTTGGTTTGGTGTTGCATGGACCATTTCTAGGGATAAAGTCCCAAAGGTGGAGACTTTATGAGCATAAGGGACTCCATGGACCTAGATCTGTCCCATTTCAGTGATATTTGTGTTATAGATCCATAAAAATTCCATCTTGGTCGTTGTTATGAGGTCATGCTTGAATTATGAGCTTTCTAGAGTTGGGAAATGGAATGTTATGAGTGTTAGTGACTTGTCCAGCCATGCAAAGGCTTAAAGTCACCAACTTTATGGATTAAGAGGCTTAGAAATGGTCAGATCTAGAAGATGGACGTGGGTCTTAACTGTTTAAGACCTCAAGAGCTTAGAGTCTGAAACTGGGAGTTATGCGGGGCGTAATCCCAGTACGCGCGGCGTAAGGGGTCGCGCACCCCGTTTCTGTGAGGACGCCGGATACGCCCAGCGTACATGTTTGGTACGCGCAGCGTAACCCAGAGAGTTGACTTTTGTTGACTTTTAGGGTTTGGTCAACTTTAGGGTCTTTGAGCCATGAGAGGGGTAAAATGGTCTTTTACCCTTCTGAGAGTACTAAGAGAGGGAATAGTCTAGCCTTGAGAGATGTATTGATTTAGAGTGTTTATTTCATATGATTAGGCGGAGGCTAGACCAGATTTTACAAAGTTCGGGATTACCGAGTTACCCGAGGTGAGTCTTCTCACTATACTTTACCTAGAGTGGTAATTAGAGTTATGCGACAGAGTATCTTGTATGCTATTTATGTGATTGTGATACACTGCATTATTTCTATGTGATTTATGCCGTGTATGTTCCAGAGTTACAGAGTTAGAACCGGAAGTTTCACAGAGTTAGGACCAGAGGGTCCATAGAGTTAGGACCGAAGGGTCCACTGAGTTATAGCCTCGAGTGGCTAATATGTGTTATATGTGGTATTTTGGGGAACTCACTAAGCATTTATGCTTACCTTGTTATGTGATATGTGTTTCAGGTACCAGCGAGAGTCGCGGGAAGGCGCCGGCATGATTTGTACACACTGGCAGAAGATTAAGTGTTGAGATTCTGGGATATGTTTTATGGTGATAACATTGATATATGAGAATATTATATGAGTTTTATTATGTTTGAAAAATGAAAAATTGTTTTAAAAATTTACGTCGTTTCAAGTTGGTATCAGAGCCTTGGTTTGAGGGATTCGGATGCACCTTCGGGCGTATCTGAACTCAAACTGAGGATTTGAGGAAATTTTCATAAAAGAAACAATTTTTCTAAAAGAGAAAGATTTTTGAGAAAATCAGAACGGAGCAGTATGTACGATCAACCAGCGCCCGAACGGTGATTTCCCAAAATACCCTTACATTATGTGCTATGAGATATTATGTGATATGCTATGCATGCTAGAGATAGGCTAGGTACTTCATATTTTAGGACTAGAATGGCCTGATCTGTGATGCCTTAGCCTAGGAGTTGCTGTTATATGCAATGTGCCTTCGAGTATGTGCTGAGTATGAGTATCCAGCAGGAATCCTTTTAGAGAGGGATCTGAGTAGAGGAGTAATCTAGGGGAGATACCTAGATGAGCACGTGTGGAATCTACAGAGAGAGTAGACAGATGGCCACATGGGGCGGAGTTTCATGAGTTCGGTGATATCCTCCGAGTATGAGGAAAGCAAGTGGGATCACGACCTGAAGAGGTTTTGTATGCTAGTGGAGACTATTCGATGCCCGAATGCTGCTTGCTTTGTGCTTTGTGGGACTCTCGATGATGGGAGTCAGCTACTAGGTGAATATGACGATATTCAGTAGGTAGATGGCTGGCATCATTAGGAGTTTTTCAGCAGCTGATGGCGGAGAAGTGTGAGGACCTAGGAAGAGCCTAGGGGGTGATCATGGTCGGATGAGTGCGCTGACAGAGTAGAGCATTTCGCTGGGAAGCGAGCACACGTAAAAAGATTTATAATCGAGAAGGTTGAGCAGCTACTTAGGAACTATGGGATGGTTCGTATGGAAAGTATGGGTAGATGTGGCAGGTAGTATGGGCCCGTACTACTGAAAGCATATGACCCATACTCGATGCAGGGGGCATACCGGAGGATTCTAAGTAGCAGATTGAGAAGTGATGTCATGGTTCGAGTACCATGATTAGTAGCGGATTGAGAAGTGATGTCATGGTTCGAGTACCATGATTGGTAGCAGATTGAGAAGTGATGTCATGGTTCGAGTACCATGATTAGTAGCGGATTGAGAAGTGATGTCATGGTTCGAGTACCATGATTTGTAGCAGGTCGAGAGGTGATTTCATGGTTCGAGTACCATGATTTGTAGCAGGTCGAGAGGTGATTTCATGGTTCGAGTACCATGATTTGTAGCAGATCGAGAGGTGATGTCATGGTTCGAGTACCATGATTCGTAGCGGATTGAGAAGAGGTAACGTGGTTCGGGTATCATGATTCATAGCAGATCGAGAGGTGGCCACATGGTTCGAGTACCATGACCCGTGGCGGTTAGTGTTACTGGTTCTACCAGTTATT